GGTTTACAACATTAGGAAATTGCTGTGGTACTTATTGCAAAACATACTGTGAGACAAACGCTTAAATAAACATAAAAATTTAAATTAAAAGTGCTAAGCAGATTGATATATACATGTATGCAGGTGATGATCAGTGCAAAAATGGAACAGATGCACAGAAAACAGTATAGTGTCATGTGTTTGTGGTGGGAACAGTCATATGGTTATTGTTCATGAGTCCAACAGCAGAGGGGAAGAAACTGTTCTTCTGCCTGAGGGGAGCAGGTCAAACAGACTGTGTCCAGAATGAGAAGGATCCGAGCTGCACGCCCCAGTGTCCTGGAGGTGTACAGGTGCTGCAGAGATGGGAGTCTGCAGCCAATCACCATCTCAGCAGAGCACACAACATGCTGTGGTCTGTTTGACCCTGATGGTGGCTCCATCATACCGCACGGTAATGGAGGAGATGAGGATGGACTCGATGATTGCAGTGTTGTTGGCAGGTTGAATTTCTTCAGCTGCCTCAGGAAGTACATCCTCTGCTGGGCCTCATGACGGAGGTGATGGTGGGCTCCCACTTGAGGTCCTGGGTGTTGGTGGCACCAAGGAAGCGGAATGAGGCGAACAACCTTAGTCACAAATTCAACTAACTACAGTAAAAGAACCGTTGACGGGTTGTATTTAAGTTTTGAAATTTACCCTCTTACTTTGGTTTTACTTTTAAAATCAAGTGAATAAAAAGAAAAATCAGTACGAAATAGAAAAATACATTTGTCAATAGATATTGGATCTGGAATGATGAGAGGACAAGGAGTGGGAGGGGGTCACTATTATGAGACAGGGATTATAATAAGCTAAAATGGATCCTTTGCCAGTTGCAGTACAGGACTGGAGCAAATTTTCAGTCTGTGTAACTGAAAGAATTTAAAATTCACATATACTGCCCAGCTAGCTGGAAGTTCCAGTGCAATAGCTCCAGAAGGAAAAACATCATTATTTCCAAAAACAGCAGCTATGCTGATTACAATCTGAGGAAACTTGCAGACAAAACTGACGTCCCTGATTTGTCTTCACAGGGATCCACACAAGACTGGTTAAAGGAAATCCTGACCAACATTGCAGAAGTGCTAAAACTCCAAGATATTCCTGCCATACAGATGGAAATCGTTTCACTGGGATCTGCTTATCCTGACCTCAGGTAACCTTTGAATTGACTCAGACATTATTTACTTTAATACAAAAACATACAGAGTATAACTCACGCAAATGTAATGTGCTCTCGTTTTTGGCCTGGTGTATCAACTGTAACATAATCAATAAGGACAGAACTATATTATGATGAGAGGTTTGTGAGACATTAGGTCAGGATAAACAATCGTGCTTTTCAGAGAGAGCTGAGGGAAAACAGGAAGCTGACTGAGCGAAACATCTTAATTGGTATCAGATATATCTTGTGAGCAGGATGAGCGACATTCACGGGAACTGACATGAGCTAAAAATAGATGTGCTGCCTTTCTATTTTACATTACCAATTTCACTGATAGTGCACTGAAACAGAAAGCTAAATAAAAAATGCTGGCATGAGAGAAGCAACAGCGGCTTTGTGTAGATGAAGTCAATAATTCCTGTTAATTAGAGTTAAAAGGAGAGTTTCTTTTCCCAAATGTGGCACCAGAAACCAAACTGTCTTGTTCTGCTCTTATTTCTAACATTAAAGGAAAAAGGGAAAGGGAACCAAGAGACGTAAACACTGCTCTTGATAGCACTCATATATGTTTATACTGAATAATTGTTTTATGGAAGAGTTATGTAAAACTAGTTCATACTTGGAGTGTGATGGACCGAGTTGAAAAAGCAGGAGAAGTCACAGGAATTGTTAGAAAAGTAAGGTTTTCATTTAGTTAACTCAAAAAATTATATTTACAAAAGTAAGAAAACAAAACTGAAATCAGGCAAAGAACTGCGAATTCAACAAACGTCCAGGGCTTTGTCGGGGGCCATCACTGGAGGAGGTGCATGTGCTGAACTTCGTGGTCCTCGAGCAGTTTGTGGAGGGGCTGCCCGAGGCCACTGCCCACTGGGTCTGCTGGCATCGGCCTGCCGACTTCACCACAG